CCTTAATACAAAGTTTGATGAGTTCGATGAAGTCATCTTTCGAGACGAATGGAATATTATCAGGGAATCTATGAGGAACTCCATAAATCATCAACTGGGACCTTTGGAAGAGTGATGTTACATCAAAACTGGAGTGAGCTCAGTTGAGGACTTTACAACATTTCCACATCCTTGAAGAATGATTATTTGTCCTTCTGAATCAACAGGAAAGTTCCATTCCCAATCTGTAGTAGAAGGTTTGCAAACCGTCCAGCATCCTGATCTCCTTGTAGATGTACTCTCATGTTTGTGGACAGGGTGAGTGTCTGAACACTTCTCCAAAGGTATGATGCCTTGAGGAACGCATTCAGTTCATCAGCTGGAGTGCTTCGAGGAATGACAGGTAGGGTCTAGCAGAAAGTCTCCAGCAATGACTATTGTAATGCCACCCATGAGTTGGTCATTTCTCGTATATCCTGCCAGGTCCTGTCCAATGCTTCAAACGCTAACTTGTGAGACATAGTGCATTCATCCCAGACTATGAGGCTGCATTTTTCTAGAGTTTTGCCATTGCCGATCATTTTTGATGTTGCACACTGGATTCTCATTGTGAGCAGGTTGAGAGGCAGTTTAAAAGTTGAGTGTGCAGTACGTCCTCCTTCTAGTATTGTTGCAGCAATGCGTGAGGTTGCCACAGCAAAGCAATTTTCCCCGATGACGTACTCTGGCCGACAGAAGGTTGATCAAGAATGTTTTTCCTGTCCCGCCAGGTGCATCAAGAAAGATCATACCTCCTGCTCCACTTGTATCGCTCATTTTCTTCAACAAAATTCACCAGAACTTCAGCTGAGTAGTCTGTCTCTCTGAGCAACTCCTGTTTGCAGCTACTGGTTCTTCTCGGTTTGGGAAGGCAATCCAAAATCAGTCAAGTTTTTTTCCCATAGCTCCATCACTTTGTCTTCCAGCATGATCAGAGCCCTGTTGAACATGTCATCCATGAACTCAATCTTGACCAGGATGTTCTCTTCTTGCTTGATGTAAATCCTCTGAAAGATTTTCTTTGTGGGTTTTCCAGGGCTGGCTTGGGTTGGAAAGTCCACATGTAGCAATCGTGATGGCAAACAGGTTCCTCATTCTCATTGGCGATTGAGTAGCTGCTCCTCTTCTAATGTCTCATTCCAGTAGGCCAAGGAGATTGCACGCTTCCTGATAGGTTCTGCAGACTTGTCTTGAGTGCTGCATATGATGTTGGGCCACGGATGTGGTGCAAAAGTAGTCTCAAACAATAGCATTCAAAGTTGTTGGGGTGAACCGTGTGACACGTCCAAAAGCATTGCCTGACTATATCC